TTTTTTTTTTTTTTTTTTTTTTTTTTTTTTTTTTTTTTTTTTTTTTTGCTTGTTTTTACATTTTCACTGATAGGGTTATATGTTGCTCAAAGATGGTGTCTGGGAACTCTAAAAAAATGAAACAGTGAAAATCACTATTGGAAAAAATGTGTATTTTAAAATGCTTTGGTAACAGAGTAATAGTTATTTGATTTCAAGATCGCCTCTGGTTTTTAAAATTACTAGGAGTCAAATTAATCTTATAATATTTAACTTCTCCATGTCTTTTAAGTTCTCAGAAGTAAAGATTGGTTGTTCTTTGGTGACACCAGGCATCTCTAGTTCCATAGAGCGGTCAAAGGGTTTGAATGGACACGTGCAGGGAAAATAGACTGTTTAAGGGCTCAGAAGTAAAGATTGGTTGTTCTTTGGTGACACCAGGCATCTCTAGTTCCATAGAGCGGTCAAAGGGTTTGAATGGACACGTGCAGGGAAAATAGACTGTTTAAGGGCTTCATTCTGTGTGTTGGTGCAAGTGCTTTAGCAGTAGGTCCTGACACAATGTCCTGTTTGTGACTTGTAGCTAAGATAAAGTGTTCACTGTATGATACCCGGGGAAATTTGGGGTGAATGAAAGGGTAAAGGGAAGGGAGAGACTGAATAGCGTTGTAGTGAGGAAAGAAGAAAAGGTTTGTGTAAATAGAATGTTGAAACAGAAGACACTCGCCAAGACCCCAGTCCAGGTATGATGCCTGAGAACTGGTTTGCCTGCTGTCTTGTAAGCCAGTTTGATGATGTCAGAACTTTCTCATCAGGTCTGTACAGGGATATACCTGCTTTACTTGATTCTTTGTTTTTCAGCTTAAATGTGATACCGTGGTGACTGCCATCAGTGCTGGTCCAGGGACGCTAAATTTCAAAATAAACAGGGAATTATTAACAAAGGTAAGAATGGTTTATAGTGTAGTCTTCATGCTTCCACGCTGTGTAGCTACAGGGATCCTCCAGCCCTAGAACTTGTCATGCCTCCTCAAACCCTGTGCACATATGACTGATTCCTTAGCCTGGAGTGCAGTCTTAAGTTGATGCATGATCATCCTTCAGTTTTAACTTTCTTGGTCATTGTCCTTGTTTGAAATGGCCAGTGTTCAAATCTAGGGCCTTTCATGTGTTTAGGCAAGTGCTATATCCACTGAGTTACTACCTCCGTAGACCCTGACAGTCAGTGACCGATCGGCCACCATGGCCCTGTTAACCTCTTCCTTGCAGAAGCCTTGCTGTTTCACACTTCTTGGACTGCTGCAGCTTGTGCTCTAAACTCTAAGCCACGTGGGGTTTATAGCATCTGTCTTTCCCACTGTCCTGTCTCCGTGTTTTGACATAGATAACTGTTTATTGAATGAATGAGAGCCACGTTGTTTCTACTCCTGGCAGCCTATAATTCATTGAAAACACAAGGCTTAAACTGGAGAAATTGTGTGGTAGCTCTTTTTTTTAATGAAACAGTGGATATTAAAGTAAATATTAATACAGCGAGAACCAGAAAGTTCAAAGATGCCAAAATCACGATGGCCTGAAGTATTGGAGAAATCTTTCAAAGGAGTTAGATCACGCTCAAGTGAACACATCAGAGAACGGGTGATCCTGCATAAACAATTACATGAAACTTTTTAAAGTTATATTACCTACTTTGCCCATTATTTTTAAAGAAATATAGATTGTAGCAGTCTTAAGTTGAAAATAATTATAAAGCCAAAACTTCTCTGGATAGGTAAGCCAGTTTGAGCTATGAGGAATGATTGAAGAAAGAGAGACACTGTAGCACTGTAGGATGTAGTAGGCTTAGCAAAAGCAGCTGGGCAATCAGCCTCTGAGGTTCTGACCGCCTATCAGCCACAGAAGCCCTTTTATTGATCATTACACAAAAGGTCTCTTATCTGATCTCCAATTTGTCTTAAAGAACCATCACCTAAGCAGAAACAGTCACTGTAAGAATTCCAGGTTTGCCAGGAATGTCTTATGACTGAGGTCACGCAAAGGCTTTGAAACTTAGGAAGAGCAGCCTCATAAATCTCAGATAACAATCACTGATTATTCACTTGAAGGCTAACATGGCCATTACTCCACTGTAAATGCAGGTGCAGTGGCTCTTCTAAACCTTTGCTGCGTCTCTGAATGCAGACTTTCTCAAGGATTTTAATCTCAGGCCTTTGCTCCTCGGTCCTTACTTCTTCTGAGCAGAGTTAGTGCTGTTTTCACATCATTGGGATTTTTTTTTTTTTTTAAGTCTCATTCTGAAGTAAATCAGCTAGCCAAAATCCACCCCAGAGAGGAAGACATTTATTTTTGAGCATGTTAAAACAGTACCTACCGTCTATTGGTGTACTCATCCCCCAGACCCTTATCCCCTCTTTTGCAGGGCCTCAATATACAGGCAAGGCCAGCCTCAAGCTCAATATAATTTGAAATCATTCCATGGCAATTTAAAAGCCACTAAGTTGCTCATTTGCCATTTTTAAGTGGTGCTTTTCTAGTTATTTTCTCAGTTTTATGGAAGTAGAAATGAATCTTGCCAAATGTGCCTTCCATACTTTAAGACTGTGACAGCAATATTGTCCTTCTTTTGTTCTTCCTCATATTGTACCTGGAGGTGGAGGGGAGAGGATAAAATTTTTCTTTAAAGCTACTTTGGCTGAAAGAGGTAAGGTTTATATTTCTAGGAAAATGTATATATATATATGTAATAATTCAAAATTTTAATGGCCAAAAATGTTATACTTTATTTCAATTAAGAAATTGTAGAATTTTACCTAACTTAAAGATGGCCAGTTGGATTGGTTACTACAAATATATCCATGGCTAGGTAAGGTGTAATATCTAAAGATGTAAAGAACTCTTACTTGGGTACCACACTTAATACTTGTCAGTAGCTTATAATCATTTGTAGGCGAATCAGTAACTTCTGATGGTACTTAATTCAGTTAAGAGGGAGAATAGAAAACATGGTTTAAATCAAGTTCCATTTGCATTTTATAAAAATACAGGCAAAACCTTATTTTCTTAAACATCTGAAAAAAATCCATGGTATAAAATCATATTTTTTATTTGCAAATCCAGCTTTGTATACTCTGCCAAGAGGAGGAGGAACTGTTATGCCCAGATCTTAGGGTCCCCAAACACCACCAGGAGCCAGACTAAGTATGCAAGAGCAGAGAGCTTTAAACTTCTGGCTTAAGCTCGTCTCTCCGTGGTCACCCACAAAATGGATCAGATAGGAGAGCCCTCTTCCCCACCCCCATCCCGCCCCTCACCCCCGCCCAGCAGATGCATGGCAGGGTTTTTATTGGGGTTTGAGCAAAGACGGGGAATTTCCAGCCTAGCAGTTACACGATTAGGTAATATTCAGCAAGGGCAAACTTGTTACAAAGTGATTGGCTAACTAACATAACTAACATTGAGCTATATATCTATAGACCTCAGGAATATTAGGTATTTCTATGCCATGAAAGTTCTGCTACAAGGTTTGTAGGCTTCCCAGCACAGATGCCCCACCCTGAGATAAGATACCTTCCCATTCTTGTGGTTACCTCAAGGCTATTCCTTGGGTAGGGAATTTTATGATCTTGTTCCTGGGACTGATAATGTGGGCGGGACGGGGGGAGGTGTCAGGCCTGGTCTTCTCAGAACTGTTTTGTGACTTCAATTAAGTAAGTTTTGCCTATGAGTAGTGAATATATTCAATCGGCATTTACTTTGAACTCAAAGGAATACTGAATGGTTTTTATATTAAAGAATTGGCCAGGCAAGTTGGAGTCCTGTTGGCATAAGAAAACAGTCAACCAGTAGAGTTAGAAAAGAGAAAAGATGTAAGTCATCTATAAAAAAGGATGGTGATAAACAGAAAGTAACAGCCAATCAAAGTATCCATCAATTTCCTTACGCTCCTAAAATAGAAATGTAAAAGACTTTAGTTCTGATTAAAACCTTTTATGTACCAATATTTGCAAGAGTGCAGCTTACATTTAAACATGCATATTGGTAAATATACTAGATTTTAGTGATTTTATCTATTGGAATATGATGAACAATAGTACCTCCTTGATACTTTGTAGTTAAAAAAACATTCACTTGAGTCAGGCACGATAGTGTGAGCCTGTAATCAGGAAGGCAGAGGCAGGCGAATCTCTGTGAGTTTTAGACCAGTCTAGTGAGACCAGGACAGCCCAGGTTACACAGAAACCCTGTCTGGAAAAACTTAAAAACAAACATGCAAAACAAAACCACATTCATTTGTAATTGATACCTTCTAGAAAAGAGAGAGAGTTAGTTTTATTTAAAGGTGTAGCTCCTGGTAGGTTGAACGTGCTCTATTGAATTAATTAGACTCAACTGGTTAAAAAAACAAAACAGTGAGTCAGGGCCTTACTGTGGAGCCTAGGCTAGCTAATAACTCAGGATCATCCAGTTTTTGCCTTCCTTCTGAGTCACTGGGGTTACAAGCATGCATCATGTGCCATAGCTCATTTCTTGACTGTAGTAACTAATAGTGACAATAAAATTCTTAACATACCTACATTTTTTAAGGCCCCAGATGAAGTTAACAATGCAAATCCAACCGAAAAACAATACTTTATAACAGTAATTTCAAGTCAAACTATTGGGCTGTAGAGGTGGCCCAGAAATTAAGAGTTCTTGCCCTTATAGAAGATCTAGATTCAATTCCTAGCATTCACACTGTGACTCACAGCCTTCTGTAGCTAGTTCCCAGGGATCCTGCCTCTTTCGGTCTCTGCAAACAACAGGCATCGTGTGATCCTTGTGTATATCTGCAACACTCATACATGTAAAAAAAATGAAAAGTACACATAAGAGAATCCTCTAAAAATGAACAGGTGCATTATAACCTATAGAGAAGCATTGCATGAATTCTATGAACTATGCTATAGTTCTGTGTTACTAAATAAAAGTTAATCTAGAGTACATCATGGAAGCTTCTATTGGGTTTTATCTTCCACTTGTAGAGCCAACAGGCATTTAATTACATGTTCCTATTTGTTCACTAGCTGTACTTGGGGCTTGAGTTATCACGGGAGCAGTATGATGACCTTGAACTTCTGATCTTCCACTTCCCAGGTGCTGAGGTTAGAACACAAAAGATTTTTAACAAGTGAGGAAAGCAGTCTTATCAACTGAGCTATTATGACCTTAGGAAAATTAACCCCCATGCTTTTCTTTCCTCCTTTATGAGCACAGTCCTCATCTCTGATGTTGTGAGGGTAAGAGAGTTAATATAAGTCCTCATCACTGTCTTTGGAACACAGCCTGCACTCAGAAATTCTAGATAGTGCTTCTGACTTGGGTATTACTATTTCCATGGAACTTTTGGCAGTCAGCCTTGTCTCACAAAGCTTCAACTTCCTGATCTCTAAGCACTGTCAATGGCTACTGTAATGTCAAATAGACTAAATTTATAAGCCCAGAGTAGCCCATCTGTATCATCTCACTTTATAAGTGTTCTGAGAGGACTTGGTAACAAGTGATGCTATGATATTGATACTGGAGCCGGTGCTGCTGACAGTGCTATAACATTCTAAACTTCATAATTAGAATGAACAGGTTAGTGACATTTTATTTTCAGTAACGTAGTGGTTAAGAGCTACCATTAAATCCCACTCCTATTTTTCAGGCAGTGTTGCAACAAGTAACGGAGGATGGCTCAAAGTATGGATTAAAAAGTGAGCTTTTCTCAGGTCTTCCCCAGGAGAGGATTGTGGTTGAATTCAGGTAAGTGACAATTGATCTTACCCAGCTGATAGGACGGGGATGAGTCCACCTTGGTGACTTTGCACTAAATTACATGTGGAATGTTGAAAATCAGTGACATCATATTATTTTTTTAGGTTCATTAAACAATGAATACAAATGACAAAAATAAGTATTTTATGTACCAGTATGTTTTTGCCGTTTCTTTTTTTAGACAGGATCTCCTGTATCCCTGGCTGGCCTTGAACTGGATGTGTAGCCAGTGGTGACCTTGAGAGTCTCTTCAAGGTCTCACCTGAGTGCTAGGTCTGTAAGTGTGCACCACCACACCAGGTTTATGCAGCACTGGGGTTCCAACACAAAGATTTGCACATTCAAGAAAAGCTCTCTTATCAACTGAGCTACATTTCCCTGACTCTCATTGTACTTTTTTCTCTTTGAGTTAAACACTGAATGCTTTAATATTTTTATTTATTATTTTATTTATTATTTCAGTGTGTGCATGTACAATACATATATTGGGGAAGCACTTTGTAGAGTCCGTTCTCTCCTTTGGCCTTCATTTGAGCTCTGAGGATTTAACACAGATTTCCAGGCTTGCTTTGCAAAATAATTTACTATCTTGTCAGCCCAAGTACCATGGGTTTTTTGGTTTGGTTTGATTTGATCTTGGTTGTTGTTGGTTTTTTTTTTTTTTTTTTTGGGGGGGGTGTTCTTCACAGCCCCAAGCTCCTAGAATAATGACTCATTAGATTCAAAATATTTTTGCAAATAGGCCATACATCTAGGCTCTTCTGACTAGCTCATAACTTAAAATAACCCATTTATTTTAGTCTACAGTCTGCCATTTGGCTGGTTACCTCTGCTCACATACCATGTGTCTGTCCTCTTCCATGTCTTCCTGGACTGAGGAATCTCTCATGCCCTGCTCTATCCCAGAATCCTTTCTGCATGCTGGATGTCCCACCTCCTATTTCCTGCAGGAGCTATAGGCCATTAGCTTTTTATTGATGGGTGATGCTTCCATACAGACACAAGAGATTCCTTCTACATTATTTAAAACTGGTTTTTCATTTTAATTGATTTGTGAGGCAAAATAATATAGGGAACTAGTATATTAAAATTTTAACATATTGGATAACTAAAGAACAAAGCCTTGTACTTGTAATTAGATTATTTTTAATTAACAGAAAAAACAACTTCCCGGATTTCTTGTCTTAATTTTTAGTTTTTATTCTATATGTGAGGGGGTTGTGTGTAATGTGGGTTCATGAATGTGGTATGCATGTAGAGATCAGAGGACACCCATGGGTGTTGGCCTAGCCCACGTTGTCTGAGAACAGAGTTTCTTGTTTGTCACTGTGTACACCAGACTACTTGGCCTGTGCATTTTCAGTGATTCTCCCCCATTTAATGCCTGTGCCACCATAGGAGCACTGGGAGTACAAACACAGGATACCACATCCAGTTTCTATGTGGGCTCTGAGAATACAAATATAGATTGTTATTATTTTGTGGCAAGGATGCTTTGTCCAATCAGTAATCTCCCTCTTCTCAGCCCCTGAATTTTTAATGTGATTCCAAGTAGTCTTCAGATAAATTTCTAATCCACTATAAATAAAGCCATCTAATGCTTACACTATCATGAAGAAGTCAAGAATGTAAAAGGAACATTAATATCTAACATCTTCACCATGTACCTGCTGTTTGACACCTCAAGAAAACTACTGGATGTATTTATCTTCCCAAAGATGAAGAATCTTGATGAACTACGTTTGCACGTAGAAGGATGAGACTTCCCAGAGATCTCTCCTTCGTCTGCATTGGTTTCTGTGGAGAGTGGGTGCACAGGCGTATACATACGTGCTGTGAAGACTGGATGTCAGTCTTGGCTGTTTCCTCAGGTGTTGTTCCTCAGGTGCCGTCTGCCTCGCTTGAGACAAGCTCTTTCACTTGGCCCAGAACTCACTGATTAGTTCCCTGGTTATCAGTTATCCACTGGGAATACGCTTTCCTCTGCCTCGTTAGCACTGATACTACAGCAGCAGATCACCAGGCCTGGCTTTTGTACACAGGTTCTGGAGATCAAATGCAGGGCCACATGCCTTCTGGGCAAGCAGCTTTCACTGACTGAGCTATCTCCCCAGCCCTCTGTGAAATTTTAAGGAATGATACGGATGTGTTTACCCCCTCATTTTTGTTACTTAGGATAAGTTTTTAAAATTTAGTTATGATTACAAATTCGGCAGTCAGAGAAAGAGTTTTCCAGATTGCACAAGTACTGCTGCCACCTAGGCAGGCATTGAAGGACTTAAATGTGTCCGATTTTAACAGAGACTGACTGTGAGATGATTTCTGTGTCCATAGAGCACGCATGTATCTTTGCTCTATCTGTGCTGTGTAATCCTAGTACTTAAATTGAATTTAGAGAGTTAGAGATTTGTTGTATGACAGAAAGAAAGAAGACTTCCAACGTCCACCCTCACACTGCATTGCAAGGACACAGGAGTTTTCTGGTCCTTGTGGGTACGGGGTGTAGTGCCGAGCTCACGTGTGCTCTGAACCAAAGCTGCAGTGGGTTCTGCAGTGCAGCACAGGCCAGCATTGCCAGAAGCACCTCAGATCCGTCATGCTTGTTTGGTCCCGAGCAGGGCTTCCAAGGCTTCTACCCCAACCTCTTTTGGCCCAAGAAACTTAAAGTTTGTATGTTACATGTACTTGTTTATATGTGTGGGAAGAGTGTTTGTATGCTGCTGCACATGTGTGAAGGTCAGAGGACAGCCTGTGGAAGTCAGTTTTTTTGTTTTTTGTTTTTTGTTTTTTCGGACATGTGGGAACTCAAGACATCAGACATCAGGCTTGTCAGCAGATGCCTTTACTGAGCTATCTTGGCCTGCCCAAGAAAGTTTATAAAACCATGGGCATATAGGTAAATAAAATACAAAATAGTCATGTAAATTAAATATTTAGTGATAAGATATCGTTCATTTTAAAACAATAGGTTACATAAAAACTTACCATTTGCTAATTTGCATACTAACATGAAAAATATGTTTATTTTTATGCAAAGAATTAAATCTTGGCTCAGTGTTTGATATTGTAGAACATAGAGCATCTGTCCAGCACTTTTATCTTCCTAATCTTAAATTTGCTTCACAAATGTAGCATTCCTGGGTATCATACTACTTTATGGATCACAGGATCAATGATTGTTAGTCAATGATAAGGTGATTCTTTTCAAATTCCAATTTATCCTTATTGTTTATTCTGATTTCTAACTTAACCTTTCTCCTGAATTGTCAAAAGCTCTGCTCCCTGATTATGTCAACCTATGGAGGAGTTATCTACTTCATTTTCAAAATTTTTGTTATTGAAATAAGAAAATATTCTTGTAATTTTTGCAGTTCGCCTAATATTGCCAAAAAATTTCATGTTGGACATTTACGCTCCACCATCATAGGTAAGTGTTCCCTTTAACAGAAAATATTAAACATGCCTTTGGGGATGTTCATTTATATGAGCATAAGTAAATGTTACACTGAGTTGGAAAGTTGGTTAGTGGGTTAAAAGCCAAAATTTATTTCAAAAGAAAAAGACTCAGAAATCAGTTTTAAATGGTACATATTGGAAAACTGTTATACATGTAGAAAACCTTTTGAAAGAGACAAAAATAAAAAATAGTCACAAAGTATTTCTGTGGGATTGTCAGAAATATTTCAGGTTATCTTGTTAATTTTTTTGTATTGAGACTTAACTAATTTTCAAGACTGAAAACTAAAATTTCTAATAGAACATTATGAATTCTAAAACTACTTGATAGCTGTAAAGCTTCAGAGTACAGTTTGCTTTTTTAAGTGTCTGTGTGGGGGTTGGGGTAGGTGGGTGGGTGGATGTTTGTGGGTATGTGGGGGTGGGGGTTGTGGGAGGAATCACCCACAAAATCCAGAAGAGGGTGCAGAATCCCCTGGGGTTGGAGTAGAGTGTATGGGAGCCATCCTGCATAAGTGAGGAAGTGAATTGTAGCGCGCTCAAATATAGCAAGCATGGAAACACTGAGCCATCTCTCAAGTCCTGCCCTCCATCTGCCCAAAATGTTCTGCAGTACTGTGATGAATGTATATTAAAGCTGTCAGTTAAACTGTCAGTTTTTATCTAACCCAGCTGGACCCAAATAATTGAGACAAAGACTTCAGTTTTATTTAACATTTCTTTTATGCACAATAACTGAGCAGTATTAGTCTATTGTAGCCCTCTATGCTAATCTAACTATCTTCCAGCCAAAATTCTCAAGATACTTGAATTTTAAAGCGTTCTCTAGTCCAGCTGTTTTCTTATGATGTCTCTTGGACCTCTCTCCTCATGCTCAAAGAATCTTTGCCCCTCCCCTTGCTGGAAACAGAAGTTGAGCTTGATTCTCTCTTCTGCTCAGTTATTGGCTGATCAGCTTTATTGACATATCAGAGAATAAACGGGGAACAATGTTTACATAAATGTGAGACAAGAGAATTCTTAGAATAAGCATTACAGTGCCATGTCCAAGTCACAACCAGATAGTGTCATAGAGAAATCAGCATTTGAATAATAAAAGGGTAATCTTTACACAGCACACAAAACATTATACCAGCAGTAATGCAATTCAAAACTCAGTTTAGGATTATGTAATATTAGAATTGGAGTTTATTAAGTATTTAGAAAGTAAAAGAATAAAAAGCAAAACAGAAAAAGAGACAAAGTATGTGATGGGGTAGAGAGAAAAAGCATAAAACCAAAACATAGTCAAATCAGATGCTCGAAACATTCAGCAGAAAGCAAATCCTTTTAAGATAGCCAGCTAGTAGAGTCACCACCTAATTGTCTCCTCAGCTGGGACTTCCAAGTATAAGAACAAACAGCAACAGCCAGAGGTAGTACCAAATCAAACACTTACAACTTCCAGTTGAACCAGCTCGTGACATTGAGGCAGTCCCCTGAGTTTCCTGTAGCTGAACCTCCAGTTTCTTTCCTATAGTTGCTTTTATGTCATAGCATAGACTTCTGTTGGAAATGATTTACCTTACAGCTCTTCGTAAAGACAGTATTTGTTCTCATAGGCTGCTACTCTTCCCTTCGTGTTAGGAGAACCAGACCATTATTAGTCAAAGAGCTGACAGGCTTGAATCTGAAGTGGGAGCAGTGACAGTTTCTTAGTGAGTTTGCAGATCACATGACAGTTTACTAACATAATGTACATATTCCCCCACTTAATGTCACAGTAGCCCTGTTCGGTAAGTATAATTAACTAAGAATAATGAGGAAGAAATTCAGACATAAGAAATAACTTTCCCAAGATCACATGGATAAAGTATTTGCGGCTGGGATCTGAAATAGTCCAATTAGGAGCCATATACATATATTTAGGTGTATTTGTGAGATATCAGTGTCCTAAGAAAAGTAGATGCACAATCTTGGTAACAGGTGAAGAAGATAATCCTTCATGCTGAGACTATGTTGGAAGGTATAGAAATATATATGCTTGCAAATAAGGAAGATGCTATACCTCAAATTGGGTTTGGGGGGATTTTTTTGTTTGTTTTGATCTTGTTGATTTGGGACAGGGTCTCATTTGTAGCCCAAAATGGCCTAGAACTACTGTGTAGCCCAGACTAAATTTGAACTTTTAGCAATTCTCTTGCCTCAGACTCCCAAGTGCTGACTGCAAGTGTTTGCCATCAAGCCACTATGTTTAAACCATGGAATTATATATTATACAATATAAATCGTTGCAGAGTTATTGGGAGGACTAAAAAGATTTTTAATTACATTGGCATGAGTGACTCCTATAGTGAGAATTTTGGAATTTTAGTTTTTTTGAAAACACAAAAATATGTTTTTGTTTTAATCCCCAGTATGGAAATATGGGTCTACTTTGCAGCAGCTGACTATGATTTGCCTCGTGCTCTGGCAGGGGCATGATTTTGCCAGCTACAGATGGTTTCTACAATTGTGTAACATATGAAATTGTGGGGACTTTTCATTGTTGTTAGTTGTTGCTTGCCATTGGTCGTGATTTGTTTAGTAGTTGTGCCCAAAAAAGAAACAACAAGGAGAAATTAGATATCCTGACAGCTAAGATCAAACTTGTCCCAAGAGCTCTCTTTCCTTTCCACTGTATCACTTTTTCTCTCATATCTAGTGTTAGGGGTTTGAAAGAGAAGAAGAAAAGGGGTAGAGAGAGGTAGAGGAAAGAAGAGCCCACAAGATAGCAAATACTTTCTACAACGCCCAAAAGTATCCCATGGATGTCAGTTAATCAAGGAAGGCTTTACCTCTTATGCCATCGCTTCCAAACTCTAGTGCCACTACCATAATCTAGAAACTGCCGCTCTTTATGTCATATCTTCTTGCAGTACAGGCAAAAGCAGTCACACCATATCCTGTCTTGGTTTGTTTTACAGGTCATGACAAAGCACTAGGATCTTTATTAGAAAGTGCTACTAAAGAGAGGGGGAAACCAAACAAATACTCCAGAGTTTCATAACTCTTCGTCAATGGAAAAACAAGCAAACAAGACAAATGTAACTCCTTTGCCAAATCTCGTGCAAAGTGTACCTTATAGTCCAAATATAGAGGATTTCTGGAACCCTAACTACAAGACACTCTGGGAACTGGAGAAGTAGATATTTAAGTTTCCAGCTTTGCAGTATATGAAAGCAGGCAGAAAGTTGAGTAGAACATATATTGAATGTCAAATCTGCATCAGCAGAACATGCTAATAAAGGCTGTTGAGCAGTGTGTGCTCTTAGGGAACAGGCTTGTGTGGGACACTTCAGTGCCTGAAAGGAGATTATATGAGCTAATTAGAAAAATGTTGGGGCTGAAGAGATGGGGCTCAGAGATTAAGAGTACCTGAGTTCAATTCCCAGCCACCACATGATGCCTCATAACCATCTATAATGAGATCTGCCCTCTTCTGGTATGTAAACACACATGCAGGCAGAATACTGTATAAATAAATAAATAAATAATTAATTAATTAAATGAATGAATAAATAAATATATATATATATATATCTTTAAGAAATACTTAGGACATAGACAAATTATACAGTCTTCTTTAGGATGCAGTCAACACATGTGAATGCAGGTGTCTTCAGAGACTGGGAGTGGGGGTGCACACACAGGTGTACGTGAGTACAAGCATCAGATCCCTTGGACCTGGAGTTACAGATGGTTGTGAGCTCCCTGATATAGGGGCTGGGAACCAAACTTGGGTCCTCAGGAAGAGCAGCAAGTAATCTTAACTGCTGAGCTACTTTTAGCCACCTAACTGCTGTATTTCTTGATTACTAAGATTCTGTTCTCTTCTTTCCTTCGAATTAGCTAAGAATAGAATTTATTCTAGAATGTATTTCTTAACTATAGTGATGTTAATGAAAGGTATGTTATTGTGAAAATGGTGGAAAGCTTTGGAATAACATCAGAGTAATTCCTTACTATATACCCACACATAGATAAACACATGAGTGCTTTTATAGAAAAGATTGGATTGGCAAGTTTGATTAAAAGGGATTTCTATGTTATAGCTTGATAGTAGAGAAGTGCAGTTTTAAAGCCAAAATGGATAAAAAAAAAAAAAAAGAATAATATTATATTTCATTTATGACTAGGAAATTTTATAGCAAATCTAAAAGAAGCTTTAGGACATCAAGTAACAAGAATAAATTACATTGGAGATTGGGGCATGCAGTTTGGTAAGTATATTTAACATGCTTTTCTTTTTATTATGTGGCTTAATTGTTTTAAGTACTGTGTCACTTGGTCATCTGTACAGAATGTAGACAAGATACCTGTTGGATAAAATGATATACTGTATCTGTGGTGCTAGGAATTAGACTTGAGGGCTCTCGTATACCCAGTACATGTTCTACCACTGAGCTGTATCTGCTGATACCTGTATTGGCTACATTTAAAAATGAATACACAGAGGGAAAATTCCAGGCCAGCCAGGGATAAACAGAGAAACCCTATCTTGAAAAACAAAAACAAAAAAGAAAGGGAAGAAGGAGGAGGAAGAAAAGAATAAAAATGAACCATCAATAAAACCTTTTAGATATGTTTTTGACATAAAGATTGATAACTGACATAATAACATTAGTTTTCAAATAACAAAGCCTATATATCCTGCTCTTGTCCCAGGTTGTAGTTGTCCTTTTAAATTAGAGTTATAGTCATCTTTTAGCAGTTTTTATTAAGAATATAAATAGTAACAGTCCTAAGTTTAAAACCTCATTTAGTAATTTTTTGTTTTGTTTTTTGAGACATGTTTTTTCTGTGTAATAGAGGCCTGGCTGTCTTGGATTCTCTTTGCCTCCCAAGTGCTGGGATTAAAGGCATGAGCTGCCCTCCCTGTTGTTTTTCTTTTCTTTCTTTCTTTTTTCCTATCTTTTTTTTTTTTGAGGTTTATTTTCTTTTTTTTTATTTTATTTTTTTCTTATCAGTTACATTTTATTAACTCTGTATCCCAGCCGTGTCCCGATCCCTCATTCCCTCCCAGTCCCTCCCTGCCTCCCTCATCTCCACCGTGCCCCTTGCCAAGTCCACTGCCTTTTTTCCTTTCTTCTTCTTCTTCTTTTTTTTTTATTTAGTAATTTTTTGAAAGCTCAAATTAATATTATGCATGAACTCTAAACAGACTGATAAACTACACCTGTCTAGTTGGCTACTATATTAGTTTCTTTTATTGGAAACAAATACCTTGTTAGACACAAACAGATTATCTTGTTTTCACCCAAAGAGCACACATCCAATGCAAAAGTTACCTAGCAAGACAATAATTTTGCAAAAAGGTACACCAGAACCCACACTAGACTAGTGAACACATGTGCCAAAATAGCTTCTTTTATCCTTTATCATGTGTCTTATCCCATTAGTCGGAGTTCAGTTTCACAATCCACTATAATTAGCTAATTGCCCTAAAGGGGAAATAGGGACCTTGGGCTGACTACCCAAGGTAGGAACAACGCTTTTCACACATAGCTGACAAAAGGAATGTAAGGAAAGGGAGGGCTATTTTGGCTCCTTACTTAAAAACTCTTGTAGTCCATGGTGATGGGGAAATGCAGCAGCAGCAACAGGAAGTGGCTGCTCATGCTGGGTGTACAGTCAGGGAGCGGAGTGCAGGTAGGAAGGAGAGCCAGGCTGTAAACTGCAAGGCCCATGCCCAGTGCGCCATTTCCTCTCGCAAGGCTCTCCCTCCACCAGGGAAGGGTCCAACAGGCTTTGATTCCACAGCAGCACCAGCTGGAGACTCCGTGTTCAAACATGAGCTTATCGGAACAGTTCACACGCTGCAGTAAAGGAAGTGTTGATTGCAGAGATTTTAGATTTTAGATTTTTGTTTGTTGTTTCTCAGTTATTCCAAAATGAAAGTAGCACAGTCATTCTTACCTTTATTTTAATATTTATAAGTTTTTTTGAAAGTTTAAAAACCACTTCTCATCAGTGTTTTTAAGTATATTAATATAACTTTAAATATCTAGTGCCTCACAAAATTCAATAAATGTTTGTTTTTCTTGTCTGCCAAAGAGTCACTGGATACTTTTAGTGCAAAGATACGTAGAAAGATACGTAGTCCTAGACCTTTTGTTGGATCTCCTCACAATCTTTTAAACTTAGGATCAATGATTCATTACCAGTGGTTTAGAATATGTCATTTTATAAGATATTCCTTGTGCAAAGTTTATATCTGTACATAAGATAAAATGTATATATTTTACAATAGTTCTCAGGATATGTAATTGAGAAGTTCATCTTTTTATAGAATTATACCTGTTTTTCACCATGACTGTTCTCTGCTATTTTATTTTATAATTTGTCACTTACTCATTATCTTGATAGGTCTGCTGGGAACTGGTTTCCAGCTGTTTGGCTATGAAGAAAAACTCCGGTCCAATCCTTTACAACATCTCTTTGATGTAAGTTGGTAAGACAACCATAATAGGGATTTTTCCCTAAAAGTTGACTTGAGAATACAGTTTTCCGTAAATCGAACAAAAGGTCTAGGACTATGAATCTTTGCACTAATGGTATCCAGTGACTCCTTGGCAGACAAGAAAACAAACCCTTCAACAGTTGAGGCTAAGTAAGCTTTTCTGTTTTTCACTTCTGGATTAAAAAGTGTATAAGTTTGATGAATATCCAGGGCCAGGAATCTTATATTATTGTTTCAAGAGAGGTGGATATGTAAACCAATGCATGCTGAGGGAAGAGGAGATTCTGAGGTTACATGCATTGTTTTGAGAGAGAAATGTGTGCATGTACTAGTATCCAGGATTTTTATCAGCTTGATAAAAGCTGGATCCATCCTAGAAGAGGAAATCTCAATTGAGAAAATGCCTCTGTCAAGTTGTTTGTTTGAAAGTATGTGAGGTATTGTGTTGCTTGATGATTGATCTGGGAGGGCCCAGCTCATTGTGGGTGGTGCCATCCTGGGCAAGTGGTTCTGGACTTTATAAGAAAGCAAAGTGAGCAGGCCAAGAGGAGCAAGCCTGTATTTAAGCAGTGTTCCTCCGTGGCTTTAGATCCTGCCTTAAGTTCCTTCCCTGACTTCTCCTCAGTGGTGGACTGTGATTGGAGTGAGTAAATCAAATAAACTGCTTCCTTCCCAGGTTGCTTTTTGTCGTAGTGTTTTATTATAGCAATAGAACCCCAACGAAATTGTTACCAGAAGTGGGACATCGCTGTGCTTAACCTATATGGACATGACAGGCTCAGTTAATATCCCTAACTGCCACTTTCACTTCAAGTACTATCAGCTCTACTTGATCATATGGTCTATTTGGTAAAGCAGCCAACAGCAGTTTGGGCCTGTTGAAGAGCCTTCTCTTCCGTCCAGGTTTCACTCAAAGCCAGCAACTTTCCAAGTCACTTGGTATATGGGCCAGAGTAGCATACCTAAGTGAGGAATGTGTCACCTGCAAACTTTGGATAGACCCACTAAAAGCGCTGCATTTCCCTCAGTAGTGGAGGGAAGTGCAGTGTATTCCAGCTGTACCAGGTTTGTGGGGTATTGCTGAGACAGACCAGACTATGCGTTCTGAAGGATTATGGAAGCATTTGGAAATTTGAGGTAGAAAAGCCATTGAGTACTCGGAGCCCAATAAGCTATTGTGGAAACTTGGAAGATAAGCTGAGAGAGTGTACATGATGGAGGCCTGCCTGTGAAGCTTCAGAAGGAAGTCTGAGAGTTCCTCAGAGAATGTCAGGAAGACTGATTATGTGACATTGTGAATGAAAAGTCTGTGTTTCTGATCAGCTGGCATTGAAGAATCAGCTGTGATGAAGAAGAGAGTGGAATCATTCAGTTGAAACACTCTTTTACTGGGCCAATCACTGCACTTAGCTGGTTCATCACTGCCGGAAGCCAAAGCAAGAACTGATGCTGAGGCCATGGTGAAATACTGCTTACCAGCTTGTTCCTCATGTCTTGCTTGCTCAGCTTGCTTTCTTATATACTTAGGACCAGCAGCTCAGAGATGGACACCATTCACAACGCGCTGGACCCTCCCATGTCAGTGAAGTCAGTATTCCACAGGCTTGCCACTAGGCCACTCTGATGGGGAAGAATCCCATCTACTCAGATGACTGTAGCTTTTGTCAAGGTTACAGGAAACCAGCCTGTGTCAAGCTGGCAAGGGTCAATTGTCTTGTCCTGACTTGTTTCTATTGCCTGTCCTCATTACTAGGGCACCTTTAAGAATACATAATTGCATTTGATTTTTTTTTTTTTTTTTTTTTTTTTTTTGCTACAGATATTAAATTGATTAGTGTGTATGATGTGTATCTGACTACACATTTGCCATGTGGAATGTATGGAAGTTAGACAACAACTTTTGGGAGTTGACTCTCCTTTCACCTTTATTCATGTTCAGGCAGCTGAACTTGGGCCATCAACCTTGTACAAGTGCTTTAACTAGCCAATCAATCCAGCCTGCTTGATTCAGATTTCATTTTATTTATATATTTATTTATGTATTTATTTATTATTTACTGTTGTTTGTTTTCAAGACAGGGTTTCTCTGTGTAGCCTTGACTGTCCTGGACTAGCTTTGTAGACCAGGCTGGCCTCAAACTCACAGAGATCCACCTGCCTCTGCCTCCCTGAGTGCTGGGATTACAGGCATGCACCATCTTGCCTGGTTTTGATTCAGATTTTAGAACTTGCTTCATTGTATACTGCGTATTCAAATTCTTCTGGAATAAAGCAGCAATCACTCATAATGTTACTAGAATTAGAGTTATTGCCTGTGCCCCAACAAGCCATGCTTGGCTACCCATCCTTGATAAGCCAGTTGAAAGTCATAGTAATAGTGAAAAGTAGTAATAGGAGATTTATTCCAAATTGCTACATTGAAGAGGGATCCCCTGGAACTAGAATTACAGACAATTATGAACTGCTATGTGGGTGCTGAAAATTGAACATGGGTCCTATGAATTTAGCCAGTGCTTTTAACTACTGAATCATCTCTCCATAACTTCTTGTACAGTTATTTTACTAATTGCTAATGGCTGCTTCCCAGTGTGCTCAGATTTAGCTCACAGATTGCTTTATGGCCCATGTCAGAAGCATCACTTAGACAAGTGTGTTGTCTTGTCGTTTCTCCTCAATTCTTCAAAAAGGAAGTATAAAGGAAAAAAAAAAAGACCTGTCTCAGCCAGCTCTCTCTGAAGCATGAAACAGCATTGAATGTGAGTGAGTTTGTTCATATTATAACCTTGAGTTTCTAATGAAATGGCAGAAGACACAAATATATGGATTACTGGATCTGTGGTGCCAGCATTGTGCTAATTGCTGTGGCAGTTGTCAGCTTGACAGCTCAGCACTTCTAGGAATGATCAGGCAGCGGCATTAAAGACCTACACCAAGAAGTTAATTCTGCCCAAGGGACTAATGGTTCTAGCACATATTTAAAGGATTGGAATGAGAACATGTTCTGTGCTTCACTTAATTCTGTGCTACATTACAATAAAGTAAGTCATCCCAAGAGCTGAGAGCAGTGAACTCAGTGAAATCCTAACATCAGAACTATTGAGATGGGAAGGCTAATGCCCTTTTAAGGAAATTGGATATGCTTAGTTTATTCCTTATTAGATAAACAACTGATCTTTACATTCTCATGACAGAATCAAAGTTGTGCTTCCATTCTCAGAAACGCTTTACTAAACCATACTGTCTTATCACCAACCCCAACTTAAAATTCCCTTTTTCTTCTCTGGTATGTAAATGCAACTAAAAAAGAAGCTGTCTCCAAAATTTAGACTTTCTAAAATAAAATATTTATTTTAAATATAATTTCAGAACTATATTACATGTATGTGTAAAAGGAAAATAATTCTAAACTGTTGACAATTTTAATTTATAGGCAAATTGTAAAATACTTGATAATATTTCTCTTTGATAGTGATTTGATTATCACTACTTACTAGATACTTTAAAATGTAGAAAGGGATTTTCTTTTACTTTAATTTTTATTTTAAATAAAAATTTCTAAATATTTAGAAAAAATTCTAATTCTTTTTATTGAAACATTCACATCAATAGATTACTTGTTTTATTTTTATTAAAATGTTAACATGAATAAAGGGCTTCATTGACATTTTTGAGCATGTACTTTGCTCATATTCATCCCTTTATTATACTCCTTATCTGACTGCTTCCCACTCATCCACTCATCTTTTTCTTCTCCAAAATGATCCCTTTTCTGTTTCCATTTGGCATGAGAAAAAGCATAGTATTTGTCCTGTTTTTTTTTTTTTTTTTTTTTTTTTTTTCTTGTTGCTTCTTGTTCCTCTCAGGATACCCTTTCTACTCCCAGATAATTCCACTTTTTATGGTATTATGTTTAATCATATATGAAATTAACCTAGTAGATCAATTACTAGGGTGAATAGATTAAGAAATATATATTTATAAACATAGATACTACATATAAATATATATTAGAGAGAGAGTCTGTGGGATATTTCTCATTTCTCAATAATGAAAATACAGAAAGTTGAGTGGAACTGGGGATTGTTATAGTACGCTAGACCAAAAATGAATACACTATTCTGAACATCAGCATCATTTCTGTGTATATTTGTACATTATATGTATACATGAGATGTGTGTGGCTGAAAGAGTTTTAGACCATTCATGGGTATATCTGTCTATTCCTGTGGTGTAGAGATAGAAGTAGATAATGTAAGCCTTTATTTATCAGTATTTGTCCATTCATATCTGCTGCCTGCTTGCCACTCCTTGTGACAAGTTGCTCCTTGTCACCCCCTTTTATTTTGTCTTCTGCAGCAATAAAATCCTATTCTCTGCAAATGTTGTTGCTATGCTATTTTAATACTGTGTAAAAGTTTACAAGCCTCACTGTTTTGCAGTTTTTTTCATTTATTTATATTGCCTTTATATTACTTTGGCAGTCTTCTGGAATGATTCATATTTCAACCTGGAACTGAGTTATACCTTCCAGGGAAAATCCTAGTAGTCTATACGTATAACTTCAATCCTAGTTGAACTGTAGTATTAATATTTTATTGTCATGTATTAATACTGTGTTGTGGATGCTTGAACAATTAAGGCTGCATTAGAAGTGAGCACCTAGTAAACCAGCAACCCCTCCCCTTCCCGGGTGGATATAGACCTAAACCAGCCAGGCGGGATAGTGCTTAAGAGTCCACATTGGAATGTAACTAAGCTTTCTTTTTTTTTTTTTTAATTTTATTTTTCTTTTTAGTTACATTTTGTTAACTCTGTGTCCCAGCTGTATCCCGCTCTCTCATTCCCTCCCCAACCCCGCACTCCCTCCCTGGTCTCCTCCCTGCCCCTTTCCAAGTCTACTGATAGGGGAGGACCTCCTCCCCTTTCATTTGACCCTGTTTTATCAGGTATCTTCAGGACTGGCTGCAAAGTCCTCCTCTGTAGCCTAACAGACTGCTCCTCCCCTGGGGGGGGGGGGGAGGTCAAACAGCCTGCCCTTGAGATCCTGTTAGAAATAGTCCGTGTTCCCCTTACTTTGGAAAACTACTTGGTTACTGAGCTACCACGGGCCACATCTGAGCCGAAGTTCTAGGTTATATCCATAGATGGTCCTTGGTTGAGTGTCAGTCTCAGAAAAGACCCTGTGCCCGGATATATTTGGTACTTGTAGAGCTCCTATCCTTTCCATATCATACTAACTTCCCTTCTTTCATATGATTCCCTGCACTCTGCCAAGGGTTTGGTTATGAGTCTTAGAGTCTGCTTTGAAACACTGCTAAGTAGAGTCTTTCAGATTCCTTTTGCGGTAGACTCCTGTCATACGTTCAATGCACATCCCATTTGTCTTTCTAAATGAGGATTAATCACCTTTGCCTGTGTTCACTTTCTTGATTATCTTCTTTAGGTGTGTAGATTTCATTATGTTTATTATATCTTGTAGGTCTATATAAGCAAGTATATACCAAGTTTGTCTTTCTCCTTCTGGGATACTTCACTCAGAATGATCTTTTCTAGATCCCACCACTTGCCTGCAAATTTCATGATTTCCTCCTTTTTGATTGCTGAGTAGTATTCCATTGTGTAAAAATACCACAATTTCTGTATCCATTCCTCCGTTGATGGACATCTGGGTTGTTTCCAAGTTCTGGCTATTACAAATAAAGCTGCTATGAACATGGTTGAACAAATGTCCTTGTTGTGTACTTGAGCAAATTTTGGGTATATACCTAGGAGTGGTATAACTGGGTCTTGAGGTAGCACTACTCCTAGTTGTCTGAGAAAGCGCCAGATTGACTTCCAAAGTGGTTGAACCAGTTTACATTCCCACCAGCAATGGAGGAGGGTTCCCTTTTCTCCACAACCTCTCCAGCATGTGCTATCACTTGAGTTTTTCATCTTGGCCATTCTGATGGGTGTAAGGTGAAATCTCAGGGTCGTTTTGATTTGCATTTCCCTAATGGCTAATGAGGTTGAGCATTTCTTTTAAGTGTTTCTCTGCCATTCGATGTTCCTCTTTCGAGAATTCTCTGTTTAGCTCTGTTCCCCATTTTTTAATTGGATTACTTGGTTTGTTGCTTTTCTGCTTCTTTAGTTCTTTATATATACTGGATATTAGCCCTCTGTCAGATAAAGGGTTGGTGAAGATTCTTTCCCAATCTGTAGGCTGTCTATTTGTTTTGATGACAGTGTCTTTTGCTTTACAGAAGCTTTTCAGTTTCATGAGGTCCCATTTATTCTTAGAGCCTGTGTTGTTGGTGTTCTGTTCAGGAAGTTGTCTCCTATGCCAATGAGTTCTAGGCTGTTTCCCACTTTTTTTTCAACTGATTTAGAGTATCTGGTTTTATGTTGAGGTCCTTGATCCACTTGGACTTTAGTTTTGTGCAGGGTGATAAATATGGATCTATTTTCATTTTTCTGCATGTAGACATCCAGTTGGTCCAGCACCATTTGTTGAAGATGCTGTCTTTTTTCCATTGAATGGATTTGGCTTCTTTGTCAAATATTGAGTATTCGTAGGTGTGTGGGTTTATTTCTGGGTTTTCTATGCGGTTCCATTGATCCTCCTTTCTGTTTCTATGCCAATACCATGCAGTTTTTATTACTGTTGGCCTGTAGTACAGCTTGAGATCGGGAATGGAGATACCTCCAGATGATCTGTTGTTGTACAGGATCGTTTTGGAGATTCTGGGTTTTTTGTTTCTCCATATGAAGCTGAGAATCTTTTTTTCAAGGTCTGTAAAGAATTGAGTTGGTATTTTGATGGGAATTGCATTGAATCTGTAGATTGCTTTTGGCAGGATGGCCATTTTCACAATGTTAATCGTACCAATCCATGAGCATGGGAGATCTTTCCATCTTCTGAGATCTTCTTCAATTTCTTTCTTCAAAGACTTGAAGTTTTTCTCAAACAGGTCTTTCACTTGCTTGGTTAGAGTCACACCAAGGTACTTTATGTTATTAGTGGCTATTGTGAAGGGTGTTGTTTTCCTAATTTCTTTCTCAGCCTTTTTGTCTTTGGTATACAAGAGGGCTTCTGATTTTTTTGAGTTGATTTTGTATCCTGCCACTTTGCTGAAGGTGTTTATCAGCTGAAGAAGTTCTCTGGTTGAATCTTTGGGGTCGCTCATGTATGTTATCATATCATCTGCAAATAGTGACACTTTGACCTCTTCCTTTCCGATTTGTATCCCCTTGATCTCCTTTAGTTGTCTTATTGCTCTGGCTAGGACTTCAAGTACAATGTTGAAGAGATATGGAGAGAGTGGGCAGCCTTGTCTTGTCCCTGATTTCAGTGGGATTGATTTAAGTTTCTCTCCATTGAGTTTGATGTTGGTTATAGGCTTGCTGTATATTGCCTTTACTATCTTTAGGTATGTGCCTTGTATCCCTGATCTCTCCAAGACTTTAAACATAAATGGGTGTTGGACTTTGTCAAATGCTTTTTCAGCATCTAAGGAGATGATCATGTGGTTTTTCTCCTTCATTTTGTTTATGTGGTGGATTACATTGATGGATTTCCATATGTTGAACCACCCTTGCATTCCTGGGATGAAGCCTACTTGGTCATGGTGGATGATATCTTTGATGTGTTCTTGGATTCGGTTTGCAAGTATTTTATTGAGTATTTTTGCATCAATGTTCATAAGAGAGATAGGTCTGAAGTTCTCTTTTTTTGTTGGATCTTTGTGTGGTTTAGGTATCAAGGTGACTATGGCTTCATAGAATGAGTTTGGTAGTGTTCCTTCTGTTTCTATTTTGTGGAATAGTTTGAGGAGAATTGGTGTTAGTGTAACTAAGCTTTCTAAAAAGTATTTCTGTTTGACATTTTCACCTGCTTTGCAAGTATCTTATAGATTAAGAGAATAGCTGTGAATTGTTTCATTAAAAATAGCTCCTAAAAAAATAGCTTCTGAGATACATCTGCACAAGAGTGGGCTGCAGCCAGGGTGTGGTGGTGCATGCCTGTAATCCCAGTGCTCAGGGAGGCAGAGGAAGGCCAATCTCTGTAAATTCGATGCCAGCCTGGTCTACAAGTCTAGAACAATCAATGCTACACAGAGAAACCCTGTCTCAAAAAACCAAACCAAACACACACTGGGCTGGGAAGTATAGTCAGGTGTGGGTGGAGGAAGGGTTTAGGAATCCCCACCCCTCACTGCTCAACTCTTTGTTATGGAAAAATTCAGGGATCAGGGAGTCATTCCCCTCAGCTGTGAACGTGCTGGTTAACCCCAGAGTTTAGTAGGTAGTTCCAATAAGTGGTCACACATATGGCCCTGGGTAAACTAAATGGGTCACAAAACCAAATCAGAAGTCTGGAATCTGGGGAGGAGACAAGTAGAGAGGACTGGAGGTTGATAGTGGCGGAAGAGAGATGAGAGTAGAAAGAAAGCAGAGATGGAATAGATGATGACTTGTGAAACTGTCAAAGAACAAGCAATAAAAGGTAATTTTAAGTAGCTGTTAAATCTTCCATTTGTCTTTTCATTTGCTGGCTTACGCCATGCTACTTTGATTAGCCTTTCTCATGAAGCTCCAAGAATGTTAAGCTGAATTCTACAAACAAAAAAAGATACCCCACTGTCAGCTTAGTGAAAGAGGAAAGGACTCTGCTTGGCTAACTTCCCAGGGGGGCTTGGGATTGCCTTTGTTTTCTTTTCTGTGGAGATAGCAATGTGTAATAATATATTTAATGTACTTTTTAGGTTTATGTACAAGTTAATAAAGAAGCAACAGATGATAAAAATGTAACAAAATTGGCACATGAATTCTTCCATCGACTAGAGATGGGTAACATGGAGGCACTTTCACTGTGGCAAAGATTTCGGGACTTGAGCATTGAAGAGTACACTCAGATTTACAAGGTACCCCTACAATCTTTATGTTCCCTTTGCTGTGCCTCTTGGCCATGCTGCTGCTTACTGCTGGAATAATTTACTCTTACTTAAGAGTGGATTTCTAGTTTGGTTGAAAGTTTAGTCAGATGGTGTTCTTTGGGTAAAGAGCTAAAATGCATAATAACCAGAGCAGTGCCAGGCCAACACTGCTCCTGACCTTATTCTGTCAAGGAGCTTAATTTGTGAGATGGCGGAAAAGAAGAGTAGCGGGAGCCAGTGAGCAAGGCGAACACTTGCATGAAAGAAGAGCTGAGAGGGCTAGGTTGGAGCACAGTGGATGCCCTTTGCCGGGACTCTACAGTGTAGTGTAGGCTTCTGGTCTTGTAGCCATTGCAGTAGCACAGACCCCTCCCTGCAGGTCCCCTGCCTGCATGAGTGCCTCAAGTATGACTAAGACACTGTCAGAGTAAATGTCTAATGCTATCTAGCCATAAATACCTATGACTGGTATGGTGAACCTCAGCCATGTTGTGAGGATTTGGCCAGCGTGGTATGTGCGAGTCATTACAAAGTTTACATTTTATTTCTCCCATCTTTGTAACAGATGGCAAGACATCTTAATTTTGTCTTAGTGTAAAACAGATTTAACTAACTTTTTTTTAAATTTCTGAATATTAGCGCCTTGGAATATACTTTGATGAATATTCAGGAGAATCATTTTATCGTGAAAAATCTCGAGATGTCTTAAAGTTGTTGGAGAGCAAAGGACTTCTACAGAAAACCATGTATGATCCAGTTATTATTCTTTCTTTTTCTTCAGAATTATGACTCACTGTGTAGTCCTGGCTACCCTGGAACTTACTGTAGACCAAGATGGCCATGGACTCACTGAGATCTTCCTACTTCTGCCTCTCAGGTGCTGGCACTAAAGGCCTAAGCACCGCTTATATCCTGGGGTGGGGTGGGGAGGGATGTATGTGCTATGTTGATGTTCATGTGGTCCCATGAGGACAAGGGTATGGTGTATAGCCTTTTTGCCATGTGTACGCTCTTGCCCAGTGTGGTGGTACAAACCTTCCACCTCAGCACTTGGGAAGCAGAGCAGGAAATTCTCTGTGACTTCCATAACAGACATGGTGAGACTCTATATTAAAAAACAGTCCTTTCCCAACTGTGGATGGTAACACATACCTGTAATCTGTATGCAGGAGGCTGAAGCAGGAGAGTCACGAGTTCAAGGCTGGTCTGAACTGTACATCAAATGATGAGATGCTTCCTCATACACTATATATCACTATCATAGCCAAAGTCTCATAGTCACAGGAGAAAGGATGGCATCTGTTAGAAGAGGAAACTGAAGTATGAAAACAGTGTGGCCTCAGGTTACATAAATGTAATAATTTGGAAAAAGGAAATAGAACATACTTTTGTGGCTTAACCTTGCCTTTAAAAAAAATAACTACCATTTTCAAAAAAATATTTAAGGCAACTTATGAAAACAGGTATGCTATTAACAGGTGTTCGAAATACTGGGGCAAAGAAATCAGCGACTAGCAAGGAAAATGGTATAAAGTTGGAGATTATGGTGGTACACCCCTATTGGCATTGTTGCCTTGCATGTAGTAGAATTCCTTCCTCTTTGAGAAACTTGACAAATAAAATTCATTGTGGGCCATCCAAGTCAAGCACATTAGTTCCTACAGCTGTGGTGAGAATGAACTACGTGAATATCACCTCACATACTCAGCTGTTGACACGAACATTTAAATCATAATTGTTACCGTTTGGTACAGTAGACTTGTAGAACTTACTCTTTCTCTTCAAGTGCAATTTTAGCTGACACCTTCCCTTCTCTGCTGCTGGTCAGAGATATCATTCTACTCTCTTTCTAATTCCATTTGTGATGTCATGGTTTTGTTTTTTGTTGGTTTGTTTTGTTTGTTTGTTTGTTGTTTTTTGCTTTTTGTTTTTGTTTTTTTCTTTCTGTGCCTGGCTTATTTTTCTGAGCAAGCTGTTCTTTAGGTCAACTGTGTTGTCACAAATGACGTTTCATTTTTAAGGACTGAGTAGTAGTATCTACATTGTGTATATATCACATCTTTAAAGCCTATCAACAGATGGACACTAATAGTCAATGTCTTGACTTTTGTAGATAATGCTACAATGGACATGGCAATGCAAATCTTTTCAACACACTAATTCCAATTATTTTGCATGCATATTCAGAAATAGAATTGCTGGATCGAAGAGTAATCCTATTATTTTAGTACTTTTGCAGAACCTCTTTACTGCTTTCTGTAATAGCTGTACCAATTTACATGCTTAACCAGTGATATATAAGGATCCCATTTCTCCCATACTCTTGTCAATACATGCTGTGCTTATTTTTGTTTTTTGTTTAAATAAAATGAAAATTATTCTAACAAAAATGAGAAACTGTCATTGTAGTTTTAATATTCATCACCCCCAGCTAACTTGTTGGTTTTGAATATTGTTGCTTTTAGCTTGAACTGACATTACTTACTGCCCCATGAGCAGTAAAAATAACTTCTAGTTTGCCAAAAGTGCTATAGATATTCTACCTCCAAAGTAGAGTCATCATGATTTAGAGTTTCCCTTTTGCATTTTCTAGAAAAGGAAATGTTGTAGTAGATCTCTCTGGGACTGGTGATCTGTCTTCTCTCTGCACCGTGATGCGAAGTGACGGAACTTCTCTCTATGCAACCAGGTTTGTAGCAGCTGTGAAGGACATTGCAATGTGTGACTTCGTATTCTCGGTCCTAATATTAATGCAGAAAGATCAGCTTATCCTCAAAACTGCTTTAAAAATCCTAGTTGCAAATTATAAACCTCTTGCTTGCATATTTTAAGGATATTTACTGGGTTTCTATTTTTGCCATTTGCAATTTACAGAAAGATTTAAATATCAGAAGAGTGGGACTCTATATTTAATATTTATTCAATATCACAAGCTATTTGTAGCAGAACACATCCTTTTATGGTCCTTCATAACCATGTATTAAGTGTTTTTATAGGTGCACTTGTCAGAAAATACATTCTAAAAAATGACCAAGTGAGGTTCAGTAGTGATCTCACACACTAGAGACCATTTTATATGCATGTGAACAGCAAACCTCATTACACTGAAAACACGGGCTGAGGGAGCAGGTTTCTCCATGTCTTACCCTGTGGAAGCGAGCACTCACTGTTCATATGTGAGAACTGCACTTCCTAGCACACACGGGTTTTAGAATAAAGCCAATAAGAAGAGAGGTAGGACAGTGAAACAGCCATAACCAACCACTGCAGGCAAAGGGCTGCAGTCTCTGAGGGCTGAGTTCTAAGAAGGTCACAAACCCCTGTAGACATTTCTTCGTTGTCTTTGTGGTACTAGGAATTAAACCCAAGAGTGTGTATATGCTAGATAAGTACTGTACCACTAACTAATGCCAACAGCCCTACACAAAGTCCTGTTACAACATAAAGGTATTTTTGCTGTTGAATCATTATTACAAATAACTTGAAACAATCAACTAATTTTCTGAATGCCCCGTAGAGAACTCATCTCTTTCAATTTTAGCATTTCCCTTCATCAGTTTCTTGTTTTGGGGGTTAATGAGAAAAACTGTAATGTCTGAGAATGTGTGTGTGTATGTACATAAACACATACATACATGTATATATACACAAATACATATATATTAGAAAACGTCATTGTGGCAACTAATTATTGCTAGGCAAATTAAAGAAACCAAGGTCTGCACCAGTGTGCAAACATTTCCATTCAAAACAGAAATCCCACATCAGGAAGGCATGGTGGTGAATGCCTTTAATTTCAGTACTTTGGAGGCAGAGGCAGGCAGTTCTCCTTGAGTTCAGGATCTGCCTGTCCTACATAGAGTTCCAGTTCAACCAGTGTTACTTAGTGAGGGCCTGCCAGATAGGTAGGTAGGTAGATGGATGGGTGGGTGGGTGGATGGATGGATGGATGGATCTTTATTGGGTATGTGTATGTGTGAGTCCAGATGTCCTGGGTTTAGAAGAGTCTGTTGGATCCTCTGGAGCTGTAGTCACAAACAGCTATGAGCTGCCTTTCTTGTGCTGGGAACTGAACTTGGATCCTCTATGAGAATTGTATATGCCCTCTTAACCACTGAGCAATCCAAGGACTTCTGGGCTTTTTAAATGCAGTAGAAGTTACTGCTTTTGAGTGATCCTAGAGTTTGAAAGTTCTTGATAATACAAAGTAGAAAGAAGGTACTTCTTTGCCTCTTTTGTCATCTGCATTATAATGGTATTCTTTGAGAAAATATATTGCAGAAAAGTAACAACTAGATGGTTCTCCTTAGTAGAGGCTTAGTTAATTATAAAACTCCTATAAGATACTTTTTAATGATTACTTGCTCTCCAGCTTTTGTTTATTTTTTTGTTGTTTTTATAATTACATTTCCCAGGGCATTGTTGTTTTTCCCCCAAGCCCAATTTTGTTATTATTTCTTTTACGTTGGTGTTGTTATTTCTTATCAAAGTGTACTGGGACTGTACAGGATGACATACACTCCAGGCTTCAGAAGTGTACAGGCTTAAGTAAAATCATCTCACTGTCACTTAAGTAAGTAAAAGTAATTATAACCCTTTTTTTTTTGTTTTTTTCAGAGACCTTGCAGCTGCTATAGATCGTATGGACAAGTATAATTTTGATACAATGATTTATGTCGTAAGTAATCGCAATAAAAACAAAAAGCCGTGAGCCCTACCTCAGGGAAACTAGAGACAGACACAGGGAGCAGGTCCAGGAGCTAGCTTAGTGTGTAAGGTGCGTGCTTGCCTGGAAACCTGGTGACATCATGTTGACTCCTAAAACCCAGTAATGATAGAAGGAGCCTGCACGTGCTTCTCCTCTGACCCCCTCATATGAGTCCTGACATGAATGCCTGCTCACATGTGTGCCATACACAGTGAGCAAAAAGGAAAACATGATGAAAAAAAAAAAAGAATTTTGTCAAACTACAGAAAATAATTAAATACCAGTTTGATTAAGACAACGACTTCTCTTTAAATGTATTCTCAAAAGACTCAGCAGTCAAAAATTTACATTGCTTCATAGTAAAAAATGATTAGCAAAATCAAGGTGGTTGTATGAAAATTACTACATGCAAGTTATTGTAAGGCAATAACTTTATGTTTGTCCTGTTAATGCACTTAGAAAAATTATTATTTTTATTCATTTTGCAGGGAGGAGTTTGTAACCTGGAATTTTCCCCTTCTGTTTAAAATTGTATCAAGGGAATGGAGAAATAGCTCAGCACAGTGTTAGCTCAGGCACTGCATACAGATGGTACACAGACATACCTGCAGGCAAAACACTCAGACACATAAAATAAATAAATTCTTTTAAAATTTTAAATAAAATTTAAAAACTATCAACTCATTTTATTTTAGTGTTATTTAATATGTAAACTTATTGCTGTATATAAAATACAGTATTAGAATTATGTTTTAAAGGAACTTTTAAGTCTGTAGTAACTAAAAACAGGAATTCAGATCAATGGTGCTTCTGAGCCCTTCACCCAGCTCCCTTCAACACATACATGAAGAATCACATTGACATTTGTAGAAATAATAAAACCTCGTCAGTTTTCTATGTAACCTTATTTAGGCTAGTTGTGTGGAACTGTACCACATGTAGGTCTGTGTAACCACCCCATTAGAACATGGAGCTGCTTTGTCACAGAACAGACTCCCTCATGACCCACACTTAATCACAGTTTCCTCCAACCCTCTCCTCGATCTTCATTACAGCCGTTGTCACTGTAAGAATGGTGTGTAAATGGAATCGTCTGTCCAAGCCATGGTCCTTTTGTTGCTGGCTGGCATTCTCGTCTCTTTGCGTTCCTTCCTTTGCATGTGCTGCCTCCCTCTAGACTAAGAAGCTCCCATTATCTTGTTCCAGCGTACCTTGGGTCTTCTAGAAATAGAAGTTAAATACCTGAGGGAGAAGGAAATGAAATTCTAAAAATATGTCTCCTCCTGTTTTAAGGAGTTGCAGCTCTTCTTTTCCCATTCAACGTAGATTCTCTTGTAGTGTGCTTATTTTAAAGATTTATTTTAATTTTTATTTATGTATCTGAGAGAATGAATGAGGGGTGTGTGTGTGTGCGCACACGTGTGTAGGCTAGAAGAGCGCATCAGATGCCCTGGAGCTGGAGTTGTGTGCCGCCCCGTGTGAGTGCTGGAAACCAAACTTGGGTCCTCTGGAAGAGCAGCCAGGACCCTTTAGCTTTGAGCCATTTCTCCAACAAGTAATATTTTTATTTAAAACATATTGATAATGACTTTAGTCTAATAAAACTCTAATGTTAATTTGATTTAGGACCAGCCTATTTTATTTATTAACTTGTCTTTATTTTGTTTAAATTCAAAAAAATTTCCCCAAGGCAGACAAAGGGCAAAAAAGGCATTTTCAGCAAGTGTTCCAAATGCTGAAGATCATGGGATATGAATGGGCAGAAAGGTAGGATCTGCATTGTTCTTTATTGCCTGATCAAAGTCACTAACACCTTATCTCAGTTAAATGTAAATCACAACTATAGGAATTCATGTTCATTTCTGTTTTCAAGATTTTAGTATGAAAAGACAGATTGAAGTATATTAATTTATGTCCTGATAAATGTATTTATTAATGTCTGCTATCAGTGTCTTGGTTTTCAGTTATTAATATCCATTTCCTTTTCCTCACAAAAGCAACTAGTTATTTAATCATAAGTAGTGATTATCTCAGTAAAGTGAAACTTTGGTTGACTGCAAAAAACATTTTATTTTATTTACCATATGTTAGTTATACATAATGATACCTTAATACATGTATATATTGCATTTCTATCATATTCATACTGTTTCCTCTTTTTCCGCTCCCATTGATCCTCTTTCCAATCAGTCTCCCTTTTTATTTATGTATTCACTTATTTATTTGTGAGCCAATAATTTGTTAGGATTGCTTAAAGCTCATGGGAGATGTTATTGATAGAAGCGTGTATAACTTTCTTGGGGCAATAGAACTGACAAAAATATTTCTCCCTCCACCAGTAACTATTAACTGCCCTTATGTCCTCACGAGCCCGTCCCAACTCCATGAAGGAATGTTCTCTGAGGCCAATCTTGCACAGGTTCACAGTTACTGTGAGTTTATTAATCTGTTGTGCTGCCACACCTAGCAAACGTCATTCTACAATATACAACACTCTCCTACTTGCTCTGAGTCATATTCTGTCCATCTGCCTCTTCCAAAATGTTCTCTGAACTGTGGAAGGGTGATTGAGGTGCCACATTTAGGGCTTGGCATTCAACAGTCACCCTGTGGTTACCGTCCACAATAATTGTGGCCCACTGTATAAAGAAGTTTCTCTGAGCACAGCTGGAAACACTGAGAAGGTGCTTCTTTGAGTACAGTATCAATACCAAACAACACTAGTAGCTCCTTCTTCAAGGCTTAAAACCACCAAGCAGTGAGCGTTCACTGTGCTACAGTACCATGTAGGACTTCCCTTCTTTGGGGTCAGACTCAGATCTAATCAGAGAGCAGTTACCCCTGTAACATTCATGCCAGTGGTATACCAATGGCCACATCATGTCTGGCAGGCCAGGAGTGTAGTATTGAAGGTCCACTGCTGGGTAAGATTATTGATCAAGCCTCTCTTCCAGCCTAAGGCATCTGAAAGCTAGCCAGCAGGGAGGAAACATCCAGTCCAGCTCCAGCTTGATTTCTCATTGTTCTGTAAATGAAGCCTATTTAGCTTGTGTTGTTTTAGGGGTCCAAGGAGCTTTCCCAGGTGGCATGTCATAAGGAGGTATCCATCCTGGCACTGAGATTTTTTTTTTTTTTCAGTAAACATACGGCTTCTTTGAGCAGTTTTATGTATCCACACATAGTATTGCCATTCAAACTTTTAAAAATTATTTTACTTTTTAATTAGCTTTCAAAGTAATCACTTTACTTACAGTGATTTTACTTACTTTTTCTCACATGTCCTTAGTTTTGGTTGTCCCTCTCCCCTAGCTCTCCTCCACTTCTTTGATCTCCATCCCCACTTAAAATTTTTTCCACCCCTACTATTTTACCCTGTTTTACTGTCCCTGTCCCCACCCTTCCCAGAACCCTCATGGATCCCTTTCTTCTTCCCAGGCTTTACACACAACTTACTCCTACATAAAATTGGAATTTAGGAGAGAACATAGCAGTGTTTGTTTTCCTGAGCCTGGGTTACCTCACTTAATATAATATACTGGATGTCTCCATGTAGAATAATGAAAGTAGATAGTTATTGCTTACACACTACTCAAAAATAAACTCCAGATGGCTCATAGACCTTTACATAAGATTGAAAACTGCTGGAAGAAAAAGTAGGGAGAACAATTTAAGATATAGGCAAGTAGAAGGAATTTCTAAACGCACTTCAGTCGCTCAGGAAATAAGGTTAACATTTAACAAACGGAACCTTATAAAATTAAATGTGTATGATAAAGGAAACACTCAGAGAAAGTGTACAGAGTATCATGCCAATCTAGAATGTATAAGACTAAAAAACTAACCAAGAAAACAAATAACCAAATCAAAAAATGAACTGTGCAACTCAACAAAGAAGTCCCTGAAAAATAATAATTGTGGCAGAGAATGAGGAGGATCTCTATGAATTTGAGACCAGCCTAATCTACAAAATGAGTTCCAGGACAGCCAGAGCTATACAGTCTGACCCTGTCTCAAAAAAAAAAAAAAAAAAAAAATGTGTGTGCCAATAAATAATTTTAAAGTATCAACATTATTGGCCATCAGAGAAATGCAAACTTAAACTACTTTGAGATTCCATCTCACTACAATCAGGGTGGATAGTATCAAAAAACAAATGACCACAAATCCTAGCAAGGATGTGGGGAAAGGGAAAATTGTCTGCTCCTGTGCTGGTGCCAGCACTGTGGAAATCAATATGGCACTACCATGTGACTCAGCTGCACTAGAGCGCTCTTCATATTGTACTGCAGAGCCCTACATGTCTATGTTCATTGATGTGCTTTCCACAAGAGCAAGGAAATGACATCAGCCTAGCTGTCTAGCAAGTAATGAAAGTGTACCTCTACATAATGGAAGTTTTTCTGCTATAAAAAATTATTACAATTTTTGCTTGAGATAGGATCCCCTGCAGAGGCTAACCTTGAACTCCTAATCTTCCTGCTTCAATCTTCCAAATGCTTCAGTTGCCACCATGCATGCCATTCCTCGCTACTTCCTTTTTTTTTTTTAAACCTCTGCTTCCAAGGTTAAAAAGTTTACATTATATTCTGGAAGGGTGCTAAGGTCTACTCACATCATTAAGACCTTTTTAGCTTTTGGTTAACAAATGACTGTCCATTTCAGGTGCCAGCATGTACCTTTCGGGATAGTGAAGGGAATGAAGACTCGAAGAGGGGATGTCACTTTTCTCGAAGACGTCTTAAATGAGATTCAATCGAGGATGCTACAGAACATGGCTTCCATTAAGAGTAAATCCCCTTTGCCACTTTTATGCTTTCTTGGACTTCCACTTAACCTGATTAAAAGTAGCTCTCACTACTTTGACATGTAGTTCAGGTTTTACTAATATAACTAAGTCTTTCTTTTCGGGATAGCTTGAGCGCTGTTAGTCTGTTGTCAGTCATCCTGTGAACTGCTTGCATTATTTTTATGTATGTGTACATGTGCACACATGCATACATTCATGTTGAGGCAAGAGGAGGTCTTAGGTGCTGCCCACTTTTTACAAAACACAGACAGGGTCTCTCATTGGCTAGGCCGGCCAGCCATGGAGCCTCCCTAGCACTGGATGATAAGTCAAGTGCCACACTCAGCTTGTTTTTATATAGGTTCTGGCTTTCATACTCAGGTCCCTGTGCTTTCAAGGTGACACAGTTTCTGTTGCTGTGATGAGGCACCATAACAAGCAACATATAAAAGAAAACATTTACTTTGGAGCTCACGGTTCTAGAGGGATAGAGTCTCTGACCATTATGGAAACAGATGGACAAACATGACACTGGAACAGTAACTGAGATCCACACGGGAGAGGCAGTGAGAGCGCCAACTGGAAATGACGTGGGCTTTTGAAACCTCAAAGCCCACCCTAGGTACACACCTATCCAACAAGGCCATGCCTCCTAATCCTATGCCAAGTGGTTCCGCCAACTGAGGAACAAACATTCAAATATGAGCCTCTGGGGACCATTCTCATTCAAACACTACATTAGGCACACTTTACCAACTAAGCTATCTTCCATCCCAAGTCCTTATATTATAAATTGGATCCAAGTAATTAAAGTTCATATAACTGTTTAATCTTCATCCTTGGAAAAGTAAGGATGAGCTGTATCTAATACCTCACAAGGGATATTTATAGAAACAAGTACATGTTTCTTCACTTTGACGTAGGCATGAGAACTGTCTCTTAGGCAGATTAGCCCAAATTAGGAGGACAAAGCACCTATTACCATCTTATTTGTTGACTGTACATCTTCAGAGCTTCTTTGCTCAATTGGATTCATTATTTTTGAACAATGTGACAACAGTTGGAAACAGCTGCCCCAATCTGTTTCAGCAACGAAAACAATGGAGAACCCACAGGAGACTGCAGAGAGGGTGGGGCTCGCAGCTCTCATCATCCAGGTGGGTACAGCTCCTTCCCCTGAGACCTTTTTGCCTGGTGTGTGGCAGAACCCAGGGTAGCAATGTACTCTCATTCCAGGACTTCAGAGGTTTACTCTTATCTGACTATCAGTTCAGCTGGGATCGTGTTTTCCAGAGTCGTGGGGACACTGGAGTCTTCCTACAGTATACCCATGCCCGTCTCTGCAGGTGAGGAGGCTGCAGGGGAGCCTGGGGTGCTTCTAAGACTAGTGGTTGGCCCTCCTTTCTGGACTTACCCAACAACTCTTACTCAGAGCTGGGTAAAACCTGGCAGGCCTCTTAGTATTAACACTTATCAGTCACCTATTGTAAGAAATACTTCATTACACATTGCCTTACTTTATCCTTAGTAATGCTGCCTAGATTATCCCATCACCTACATTTTAAAATATTTGGGAAAATATTAGGGACAGATGAGGATTTAAGTCAGTGTTAGTGTCAAAGTCTAAGGCTATCTAAAGGAGATCAAGAATGCATACCCAAAGCTAACAGCCATCACACGCAGCTGTAAACCTTGAATAACTGATCCTTTCACATTTTTTCAAACTTTTGGTAACAGTCTGGAAGAGACTTTTGGATGTGGTTATCTCAATGACTTCAATGTTGCTTGTTTACAAGAGCCACAGTCTGTTTCAGTTCTCCAGCATCTTCTCAGGTATGAAAGTTCTTATACCACGTCTGATACTCTTAACTAAATCGAGAGCATTTTTCACTGACCTCTAGAGTCCTTAGTTCAGAGGCTGCCTCTTGCCCCTCAAGACAGGTATAGCTAGGCCCAAAAGGAATCTGCCTTTTGAGAACAGACTGAGAGCACAGACCAAGCCAGTGTTCAAGGTCAGTCCTAGTCTAAGCCCACTGTAGAGGAACGTGAAGCCAAGTAAGAGAAGACCTATGGTTCTGGTTCTGAATAATAGCATCCCATGAGGATGTGTGATGGTGGGGTGAGGAGAATCCCATGCCTCCGGAGATTAGAAATCTTCCATTTGCTTTGTGGCTTCAGTTCTCCATGTCTTACGCATTTGTCTGCCAATTACCACCACACGGGCAGACACACCATGGCCTCATATCAGAGACCTTTGCCACACAGTGGACAGCAGTTCTTTCTGTAGGTAAGAAAATTTATTCCCACATAAGTAATTTGTGAAAGAAAACGAGCCCTCCTGATTCCCTCAGCACCGAGACAAGAGCTCACTACCTGAATGGGCAGTTTTTGTTTTTGCTTTTTTCTGCTTTTGCTCAGGACTGTGTCCAAGAGATATAAAGATGATTTAGAAAGTCTCTCCTATCAAAGAATTTACATGAAAAAGTGCATATTTGTGCCCAGAAAGATCTTCCGATGCTTTCTTAACTCCCAAGGTATCTGGCATCTTACCACATCAGCTTTGTATACCATGACCAGCCTGTTCCTTTCATTGTTTAGGTTCGATGAGGTGCTTTATCAGTCATCTCAGGACCTGCAGCCTAAGCACATTGTCAGTTACCTATTAACGCTAAGGTAATGTTAAAATCTCCCTATTTTGTTTCTCTTTAAAATCTTTTTAAGATTGATTTTTATTCCAGGGTGTGTGTATGCGTGTGCACACGTGAGCACATAGGGGCATGCATGCTAGTTTAGACTAATGATAAGCTCAGGGGCACCAATATGGATAGAAGCTACACTGAGGAAGGACATCAACGCACTTACCTTGGAATGGTATAACCAGGAGTGCGCAAAGCTTTCCCCATGGCTTCTGTCCATCCGTGGCTTCTGAATTAATGGTCTATCTGTAAACGTCTCTGTTGTATGAGTGTGCACCTGTGTCGGTGTGAGTGCTGTCTTGTCTGCCCCTAACAAGGGGCTTTGCTCACAAGCAGAAGAGAAAGCATCACATGGGGGAAGAAATAGACACTTTACAGAAATCTTTAACAGAGTTTTACACGGGAGGAAACTGTTGGCTCTAGCTGACCCAGAGACACTCAGAATAGTAAATAGCACTGCAAACAAAGTATTGTCAAGCAATATCCATATGCTCTTCTCAGCATTTGTGGTGGCTATCTATTTTATGAGGCTGCGTTTGTCCTAGCTACTGTTTTCAAACATGCATGCATTGCTGTCTAAGTCAGGGGCATGGAAGAATGCCCATGAAAGCTATACATTAGTTTAGATGGTAAAAAGTAATTACATGGGGAGTCCTAGACAAGTAAGGTTGGTTGTGAAATTGTTCTCATACACAAGTGGATCTCCATCTAGGTCTTAAGTGACCTCTGTAGAAGAATTTTAATTTAGAACATGGCTGCTCTGACAAGAGATCACATCAAAAGACCTAGGTCTGTGTGACCCAGCTGGATTACAAACACGCCTTTAATTCAAGAGACAGAGGCAAGCAGATCTGACTTTGAGGCCAGCCTGGTATAGAGCAAGTTTCAGGTAAAGAAAAGCTTAGGCCCAGGCATGGCATTTAATCCCAAGCAAAGGTAAAGGTAGTTTGTAGAAGGAAGCACCCATGTTTGAAAGTGATGTCTAATTGAGTGGCAGAAAATGTGACACATCAGAGAAAGATTTGACAGAATAGGAATGCCCAACTCTCACAAGGAGAGAGAAGAAAGAGAAGCTACTTAATGGGCAATGCAGAGATACAGAGAGGAGTCAGTTTTACCAGGACAGAGGACAGAGCTATAGAGACAGTTTGCAGACAGAACAACTTAGACACAGGTGAAGACAGAACAGGTCAGAGGATGAGAAAAAAACCAAAAGATTAGAAAAGATTGCTGGAGTTATTCTGAGGCCAAGCCCAGCAATTAAAGGGCCGAGAGAAAAGTCAGATTGAATAAGTTAGCTGGGAGAGAAGTTTGAGCCAGAACAGCTGAGGTGAACCAGGTACCCAGGGCTGAGTAAGAGCAAGCAAGATTGAGCATATTAAACAGTAAGTCTCAGAGGCTGAAAATATTCTAGGCCTATGTTAGATTGTACGGAGGCTAGAAGCTTCCAGAACTAGGCCTAGGTTAACAGACAGAGGCAGTAAGCCTCCCAGACAACAACTGAATCAGGTGAATAAAAGTTCCTTTTACAGACCTCAGCTTTAAGGTCCAGTCTGAGTTCCAGTCTCTGTAAATATGAGAGATGTCATGAAAGCAGTATCACCATATGTGTGGTGCCTCTGGAGGCCATCAGATCCTCTGAAGCTGGGATGTCAGGAGTTGTGTTCTGCCTGACATGAGTACTGGGAACTGAGCTGAGAGAGCAGCATGTGCTCTTCGCTGCTAGGTCCTTTCTCCAGCCTTTCCCTTTTCTATGTTTCATCAAAAGGTTTCTTATAAGTAAATCCCCTGCCCTAAAAGTTGCTTTTACGTTATAAGAATTGTTAGTTCTCTGACAATCATTTTGTTTTATTCATCAGTGATATAGTAGTATCATAGGAATCAACAGTAACATAGGTAGTTATAACACAGCGACATCAGTGTTATAAAAAAAAAAAAAATTTTGGACATGAACTTAGGTTGATCCAGCCTTCTTTGAGGGAATCAGTGGCTTTTCAGGAGGAAGCAGCAGGTGTTAACTGGAGGAGCAAGTGCCCGGGAAGTAGGGCAAGGTCCACAGCTGAGCACAAACTACAACTTATAATGGACAAAGGCATGAGAAATGAGGACTCCGAGCCCTTTGACCTTAGTTTTCAGGGTGGTTGGCTCCATATTGTTTTAAGCAGACACAACAATATCACATACAGCTCAGGGGGCAAATGTATTAGGAAGCAAATCAATAACACTGGTTGAAATTCCGTGGCAACTTAAATGTTTGTACTAGACATTGAATCTATTCCAATATGCCAATAACTGTATCTTCTCATAAAGCTAAAGAAAGGACATTTTGCTTTTACTCAGCATTTACTGGAATGAGGGAATACTGCACCTTTTGTCTTGATTATACTTTTTTACCTTGTCTCCCAGGTTTTTGTTTTGTTTGAAAAAGAGTCTCACTGTATAGTCTGGGCTGACCTGGGACTGCTAATTTAATCTTCTTGATTCTGTTCCATAAGTATTACAGCCCCTGTCCCTGACTCCCTTAGATTTAAATAAGTTTGATTTTTTTGGGGGGGTGGGGGAGGTTCTACTTACATATAAAAGCAAAGCCCAATGAAATGTGACTTAATAATTAAATGATTATTGTGTGCATTTCATAGTCCATTACTGCCATACCTTAACAGAAAAAGTACTTCAAGGGCTGGAAAGATGGCTCAGTGGTTAAGGGCACTGGCTGCTCTATCAGAGGACCTGGGTTCTATTCCCAGCACCCTACACAGTAGCTCACAGCCACCTGTAACTTTTTCCAAAGGATCTGATGCTCTTTTCTTACCGCCACAGGGACCAGCACACACATGGCAAACAGACATACATGAAGGCAAAAGTTTCATACAATAAAAATAAAGATATATAAAAAAAAAAATTTTAGGTACTTCAAAAGAGTATTCAGTGTGTGTGCACTGCATTGATAACTAGTCTCTATCCCACCTCAGCTGACAGAGGGGAAAAGGGCACACCGTATTATACTTTTGAAAGTTGTGTACATCAGGAAGTACTACTTGTTAGAAAAGCATGCCCTGTTGCTATAAACAGTGGAATCAAAATCTTAAAGACTTGCATTTGTAGAAACAGAGCTAAAATCTAAAGCTTGTGACTTCTCTCTTACTCTTTCAGTCACCTTGCAGCTGTGGCACATAAAACACTCCAAGTGAAAGACAGTCCTGCTGATGTGGCTGGGGTATGTTACATTTAATGTCCTCTACATAACCACTTAGCAGCTGAGACTAGTATTATAAATGTTAGTACTAAAAGTCTTAGGTACTTTTCCAAAGTATCTTAACTCTAGCAGTCTATTTTCTCACTTAGATAATACATAGAATTGGGCTGTAATGAACAATGTTATGTATTTCCCCAAATAGCAGACAATTAAATGCATCTTCTCCCATCAGGTGTTCAAGTGACAAATCCTGGTATTCCCACTGCACACCCTTTCTCTGCTGTTCCTTCTGTAAGAGATACTAGAATATAGTTTCCTTGCCTAGAGTACTCAAAGGACTATCAAGCAGTATTCCTGCCTTAAAGTAGAATTACTTCTAAAACCATTCCTTTTTGCTTATTGCTAACATATAATTGAGTATTGTATCATTTTTTTATCTTGTAGGCCAGGCTTCACCTGTTCAAAGCTGTCCGTTCTGTCCTAGCCAATGGAATGAAACTTCTTGGAATTACACCTGTATGTAGAATGTAATTTCTAATTAAAGTATTAATTTTTTTATGCCAGATGAATTCTAGTTGTTACTAGATGCCTTGCTGTTCAGAATAGAATTTCAAGTATTATTCTGCCCCAGAATGTGTGCATGTGTTGGGGAGCGGAGGTGTCATTTTTGAGACAGGGTTTCTCGGTGTAACTGCCCTGCTGTCCTGGAACTCTGGAGACCAGCTGGCCCTCGCAGAAATCCACCTGCCTCTGCCTCCCGTGTGCTGACATGAAAGGCCTGTGCCACCATTACCTGGCTAGAATATTTATTTTTTTATACAGTGTAACAGACATTGTCTTATTTAATCTTTATTCTTAAAAAAAAAAATTATGTATTTGCTCATGGTAAGTATTCAAAAATGTAAGAAACTAAGTTAAGTCTTTTTTTTCTTTTAATTTAGCACCTTATGTAATTGGGGGAAAAGACTAACATTTAAATTCTGGCCTGAGGTCATTCTTCTATGCCATGTTTAGAGAGAGAGAGACTATGTGTGTGTGTTACTAGAAATTGAGCCTGGAACCTTGTGCACACTAGGCAAGTGCTCCACTGAGCTATATCCCTATCCTTGTTTATTTTTATTTTGAAGTAGAATGTCATGTGACCTATCCAGGTTGACCTTGAACTCACAACCCAATCAGGCCTTGAATTTGTGATCCTGCTGTCTTCTCTTAGTTAGGATTACAGACCTGCAAGTTTAGGCCTCACCGGAAACTTTTTTTCAACTTCTTGTTGTTGTTGGGTGCGGGTTTCATGTGGAAGTTAGAGGACAATTTTGGCAGTTAGTTTTCTCCTTCCATTATGGGTTCCAGGTCTCAAATTTAGGGTATCAGGCTCAGACTTATGCACATAAGCACTTTTATCACTAAGCCATCTTGCTGGCCCCAGCATTTTTGTTTTTTTTAATATGAGAGGTTTCACTGTGTTAAGCAGGGTGACTTGAACTCAGATATGCCTTCTGAGTGCTGGGATTAGCAGAAATTACTCATAACCGAGATAACCTGCTGTTTTCATCAAATAATTGGTGAAGGGTAGTTCCCAATTTTATTTTAATTGAAGCTAGTTCTTGGAACAAATATAAGAAAATGTAAAGTATATCTTTGGCAGAAGAACAGGCAACTACTCCCTGTGAGAATGTAACCTCACTCGGGCTTACCGTTAGCTGAGATAGTAACAAATGGTAGGAAGTCAGGGATATATGCAAGTCATTACATAGAGACACTGGATTCAGATCTTTTGTTAAGTGTGGAACAGTACTACGCCGTTATTTGTGTAATTTGTTATGTTTGATAACCATCTTCTGCTGGCCCTTGTACTTGGCCTTCTCCATTTAATCCCAATGTTAGTAATACACATCTAGTGAAAAGAAGTAATTCGCATGAACCAGAGCTTCTGCAGTTGGATTAGACAATGTTTTAAACTGGCAGGCGTGGTGTCCTCCCTACTGTAGAAGGTACTCATCCATGTGGTCAGAACTGTGAGTAGTTTGCTGATTTTCTACTTAGAGGTACATTTAACTCCCCATGGCAGACTAGCCATGGGTGAAATGTGTGCTTGGGACAAGCTTCACATGTCTACTCTTCCCTTGCACTTCTTTGGAGAAACTTTCTTCTCAGGCCAGTGAGTATTCCAGTCTAGAGTAAACTTATTCTGGCACTAAGCCTTGAAAATATAGCTCTTTGAAAAGATTTATCATGTTGTAATCCTTACCAAAAATTCTTTTTCTTCTCAAGGCTTGTAACAATTAGATTTTAGCTATTATTTGCACACAAAATCCATAACTGATACAATTTAATACATACAAGAAAATCCATGTTAATGTTTTTGCATTACATAATGATCATATCCATAAAATAAAATAACTACACAAAACTGATATAAATAAATTTATTGCTGGCTTTCCCCATTAACATTATAGAAATATTTTAAAATCACTTAAAGTTCACAAATTGAGAGCCCAACAGGTAACCATACTTTATAAAAAAGAAAGTATAAAAAGCGACTTATAAAATTTTTTTTGAAAAGTATATCAGCTAACAGCAAAGAAATAGGAACCAGACAGTAAATGGCACAAACACAGCACTAAAGTTCTCAGTCATTACCCAGAAGTCAGTGTCTGAGCTATGGAACAGAGTATGTTTTAGAAGTTACACACTGAGTTTTGTTCTGAACTGTCTTATTCCTTTCTGCTTTTTTGGGTTTTTTTTGTTTGTTTGTTTGTTTGTTTGTTTTTGTTGTTGTTGTTGTTTTCAAGACAGGGTTTCTCTGTGTATCACAGCCCTGACTGTCCTGGACTTGCTTTGTAGACCAGGCTGGCCTGGAACTCAGAGATACGCCTGCCTCTGTCTCCCAAGTGCTGGGATTAAAGGTGTGCACCACCATACCCAGCTTCCTTTCTCACTTTGATAAGAGAAGCTAGATCTCTTACTGCTATGAGGAGAACTGAAGAAAAAGGAAGGCTTAGTCCTTTCCCAGTACCCGAACAAGAGAACAGTGTGTACAGAAATGGCTTTGGCACTTTAACCCTGACACTGTCTTAAACCTTGAATATTGTAGTTTTACCTGATGTTCTGACCCTGCATCGTTGCCTCCATGCTCGCTCACTCTCTCTCTCTGATACCATGTCACTTCCATACTCTGTGTACAATATATTCTCTCTCTAAGTCCTTCATTCTGAAATAATATACTTGACACCAAATACACCAAAATTAAATCTGTCCTAGCATTTCATTCATACAGTTTTCTTGAGTCTTAAGTCACACAGTTAATTTGTTGATATTGTTTAAGCTACCATCCAGGGTTGACTTAAGGCTCTAAGTTATTATCAACAGTTTAGTCCTTATAGGAATCTCTTGAGATTTAAATCACACACCAATGATTCTCTCTTTTGAAGTTGCTTCTTGTTGAATGGATGTAGTGTCTTGTCTGGGTAACCCATAGAGATATATGGAAACACATACAAGAAGAGCTCCTAGTGCAAAGGAAAGTGCTGAAAAGAGAGAAAAAAATAAATAACTATATTTTTGTCTTTAAAACTATAAAAACAAATTTTAAAAAGCATTTTTATGCATGTGTACACACGTTCATGTGTACAGGGCTCACGCGCATACATATAGGGGCCAAAAGGTAACTCTGGGTATCATCCTTAAGAATGCCATTCATCTCTTTAGGCAGGGTCTCTCCGTAGCCACCAATGAGGTTAGACTGTGTAGGCAACAAACCCCAGGGATTCCTGTCTTCACCTCCCCAGTGCCAGGACTGCAAGCATGTACCACAACATGTACAAGACTTCTAGAAACCCTCTTCTGGACAAGGGTTCTAGAAACCCTCAGGCCCCCATGCTTGCCTTGTAAGTACTTTATCAGTGAGCTGTCTCCCCAGACCTAAAACCTTTGTAAGTGTGGGTCTGCACTACCAAGTTGCGTGAATACTGTTTTATGAATGGTTGTGTTTTCTAAGGAAAAAGATAAATATCAAGGGAGTGATAACACACTTTTCAAAAATAATTAAGCCTGTCTTGGACTTCTCCAACTAATATAATATAAAGGGATATATTAGTTATCCCTTTATAGATTATTATTAGATATATATAATTAGATATATTAGAACTAATATAAAGGGATATATTAGTTCTCCTATAAGAAACAATTAAAGGAAACAGGTAAACATAATATAAATATATATGTACAGAAAAAGAAAATGCATTCTGATGTGGCTTACCTACATTTCAGAAAGCTTAGTGTAAAACACAGTTACACAATCCAGCTTTCAAAACCCAGTGATTGAAATGACTGAAAATTTCTGGATGGGTGAAAAGGTGATTATTGCGTTTCCCACCGTCCTTCTCCACGTTCCTCCTGAGAGTTAGGAGTGTGTGAGGGCAAAAGTGCCTGCCACACACACCTGAGGACCTGAGTTCCCAGAGTTATACAAAAAGGGCACAGTGCTATATATCTGCAGCCTCAGAGCTGGGGGGAGGGGGGGGGAGAAAAGGCAAGACACCTAGTCTAGCCAAATCAGTGCATGGCCCTGTCTTGGAAAATAAGCAGTGACTGACCAAAACGTCCAACATTGACCCAAAAGAAAAAGCAAACAAAAAATAATAGTAAAACCCTTTTATAAACTCCATATGCAGGCATTATATAAATAAATGCTAATGCTGCAGCCACATATTTGACTTCAAACCAAACTTTATATACATGAACTATATTACAATGGCAGCTTTATAACTTGGCATGTGGGTAACTAGGCATGATGATGCACGCCTGTAATCCCAAGACAGGTGGTTCAGAAGGTCAAGGTAACCAGCTATGTGTAGTAAGTATGAAGCCAGTCTGAGCAACATGCAATAGCCTCTAAGCCCCCTAAAAGGGATATAAGGAAATAGCATGAAGCTACAGTTTTAGTTCACATATAGAAAAAGACCAGCTTTGAATTCAAAGGGTGAAGCAGTTTATATTCCTAACATCCCAATAGTTAGCGAAAAGACTGCTAAGACAAATGTTTTATATTGTTACCAAGTTTTTCTCAGGAGCAAACACACAGGATTGTGTTAAATTAAGGATGTATTAGAACTACAGTTAAATTTACCCAAATCAGGTGAAAAGAATATCTAAAGTGCTTAGCGGTTGGATTTGTACAATTTCTTTGTGATTTGCTGGAGACTATTCTAAGCAAGTCACCTGACAAACCCTGAGAGCCATAGCATTACTCACATTTGCCAGAGGATGTGTGAGACACCATTATGTGATTTCCCAAGGCTGCTGCTAATAATTACAACACGCAGGATCTAAACTAAACACTAATAATGCTTCTATTTCAAAATGAAATGTAAATGTTTCCCCCTTTACATAATATAAACATTTAACAGATTTTCCTTAGTAGTTTATGGCATAATAATTGCTCAATAAAAAAAAAAAAAAAGTACTGCAGAGCTTAAAAACAACACTAAGACATTATGTTGCTTAACTAATTCAAA